TGTTTACTTGTGTTTTCCTGACTATGCCAAGGCATTTTGACTGTGTGGTTCATAACAAGCTATTTAAAGCCTTAAAAAGAATGGGAATTCCGGAACATGATGCTCGTGGGGAACCTGTACATAAATCAAAAGGCAGTTGTGTGACAAAGCTGTATCCTCTGATCATACTTATTTAATATATATGCTGAACAAATAGTTCGAGAAGCTGTACTATATGAAAAAAAAATCAGAGTTAAGGGAAGGTGAGGTAGTTAGTTTATTGGGCCAACCTGGCCGATAAACACATGTGGGGTTAATTGAAGGGTGGAGGGAGTGGGAGTGGGGTACTGGAGAAACAAATCATAAGATGGAGGGTAGATGTTTGTTTGACCGATAAAGCCACACTGTTTACTCGGTGGTTTTCTGGGGAAAACATGGGAAGTAGGAAAGTAGAAATTTTGTAAGCCCACTTTCTTTCAGCCATTAAAATTTGATCTTTAGATGGGTGTAGGCCACCTCTGCAAAGAAAACTTTGAGAATGTATGCCTCACCTAGTGTTTTGGAGCACTCAGGAACCAGTAGTCTTTGTCAGAAGCTGTAAAAAATCTGGAACCATGAAGAAAACTCCTCTCTAGGACTGAATGTTAAAGGGAGCCTGAGAGCAGGCTGAAATGCTTGCTAGGTGACCACCTGGATCTACTTGTTGAGTGGAAGTGGGAGAAATGCAGCAATAAAGAGATGGGTTGAGTTTGGCCACTGACACCTGTGGACTTGGTTTACAGGAAAAAGAGAAGACGAGAGCAGGTTAACTGATCTAAAGTTCATGACCTAGCATGAGGGCGCTAGGCTTGTTGAGTATTGCTGAGAGCCCATGGTCTAAAGTCAATGGGCACCCTGTGGAGGCTGAGTGAGGCAGCCCACATTGAGTTGACCAGAACCGGACCAGATGGAGATTTTTTGAGCCTGTGAATGGTGCATATTGTTGCTGACTTTATGGATGGCCTGTCTGGATTTGACTTTGCTTATGGATGCAGACTTCACAAGGTTCCAACTGGAATGAAGACTCTTCATGTCGAAAAATATGACTGTCTTCTCAGAGCACTGGGTTGATGTAAGTGGGCGGTATATAAATTGGATATTCAAAATTGGGGGAGATAAAGGCGTGAAGTGGTTGGCTTACAAACTTTCATAGGTGGGGGGAAAATTCACAGGATTGTAGGGTTAAGGTGTATTTGTTACTTAATTGCAATTGTGAAGCTAAAGAATTATGTACAGGTGCGAGGTGGGCAAGGGGTGGATTGAGTTTGTTAGTTTATTGTGCCTACCTGGCCGATAAACACAAGTGGGATTAATTGAAGGGCGGAGGGATAAATGGCTTGGTGAGCCTCGCCTTTCGAGTTCTCGGGTCTCTTGTTTTGTGATGATCAGACCAGGGTGCAGCTGCCTTAGCAGTTCCCAGGTTCACCTTGCAAGGCTGACTTCCTGCAAGACATCCCCGAGGAGAAGCCACATGGACCTACTCCAATACAGCTCTAGGTGCTGGAGCAGCCATGTGGAGACCTCTGCCAGCGCTGAGATTCTTACACATTCACTGACTCGGCTTTCCTCCTGCAGTCTGTGTCATTGCGTCTGCTTTGTGAGATGGAGGAGGGCTTTGTCGATTGGTGTTGGACATGTGGGTTAATGGGTTAATGTTGGACTTGTGGGCTTGGGCAGCACTGGGTTGGAATGTTTTCTTGATGTGCACTTAACCTATATATAAAACTCTCTCTTATGCATAAGTTTCTGTGGATTTGTTTCTCTAAAGTACCCAGACTAACACAATTGGCCAAAAAAACAAGGTTCCAGGAATATCCATTGAAATGTCTCAGAAAGCTGAAGAAGCACTGTAGGCACTCACTCATTTATGCCAGGAAATTTGGAAGACTTCTACCTGTCCAACTGACTGGAACAGATCCATATTTGTGCATAACCCAACGAAAGATGTCCCAGCAGAATGCTCAAGCTATAGAACAATATTGCTATTAAGCACCAACAAAATTTTTGCTTATGATCATCCAACAATATTGCAGCAGTACATTGTTAGGGAACTGCGAGAGATTCAGGCCAGATTTAGAAGAGGAAGTGGTTCAAGGGATATCATTGCTGATATCTGAGAGCTCTTAAATCAGAGAATACCAGAAAGGTGTTGACTTGTGTTTCATTGAATATGCAAAGGCATTCAACTGTGTGGACCATAATAAACAGTGGATAACCTTGAGGGGAAAAAAATAACAATAAGGAGACCTGGTAATGATGTTGCGTAAATGTTGAACAGCTAAACGAAGAAAAAAAAAGTACATATATCTCACCAGGACCTGATGTGTCCAGCCCGTTTAATTACAATCCAGATGACTCTTCTCTCTTGAGTGATAGTTGGACTTTTCAGTTGTCACAATCCAATTCCAACCTCGACACACCTTAACAATGCTGTGTCCCAAAACGCCACTCCTGGGAGTGCTACCTTTTGAATAAAAGTGATAACATGTATTGCATAGTCAGCTCTGAGAATGATGCTTCAAAACTTTTACCGTTATTCCATATGCTATGTGGTCAGGCACTAACCCAAGAAGAGAATGTATGAAAATCAAAAGAATTAAACATCTTATCAGCCCATTAAGCCAAAGCACTACTCCAAGTCTATGATGGATTAGGTGCCGGTTTTCCACTTTTCACAATTGCATTTTTTTTCTTTCAAGGTTTTCTTTTTATTCCTTCTTCAGGACTTGGTTTTTTGAAATTGGGGAGGTTAATGGGGGGAGGCAAAGAATTTTTTTATCTTGGCTGGAGATCCCACTAAAGATGTTATTTACAGAGTAGTTAGGATGAGGGTAAATTGTTCTATTTAAATTATTTCATTAATATAATTTATTGAGATAATAGAGTTTTAAGTTACTATGACTTTTTTATTTTATAACCTATTTTCCAACTAATATGTATATACATTCTCTTTTAGGTGGCCAAAGTGATTTTTACCTCAGATCTCTAGCAAGTGTTCCAAAGTAGATAACATTTTGGAAAATTAATGAAATTTTTTGTGAGGCCCAAGTAACATCTGTGGATTAACTACAAGCAAGAGAAATGAAGCACATTATCAATCCATATGAAAACATCAATGATTCAGGAAGAAATATTTCAGACTGTCCTCCTGTTGTATTGCCAGAAGAGATATTTTTCACAATTTCCATATTTGGGGTGTTGGAGAATCTAATCGTCCTTCTGGCTGTGATCAAAAACAAGAATCTTCAGATACCCATGTATTTTTTCATTTGCAGCCTGGCCATTTCTGATATGATGGGCAGCCTGTACAAGATCTTGGAAAATATCTTGATCATGCTCAGAAACATGGGTTATCTCAAACCTCGTGGCAATTTTGAAACAACCGCCGATGACATCATGGATTCCATGTTCATTCTCTCTCTGCTTGGCTCCATTTTCAGCCTGTCGGTGATTGCTGCAGACCGCTACATCACAATATTCCATGCCCTACAGTACCACAGCATTATGACCATACGCCGAACTGCTGTCATCCTGGCGACCATCTGGACATTCTGCACAGGAAGCGGCGTCACCATGGTGGTCTTCTCCCATCACATCCCCACGGTGCTCACCTTCACTTCTCTGTTCCCCCTGATGCTGCTCTTCATCCTAGGCCTGTATGTGCATATGTTCCTGCTGGCCCGTTCCCATGCTAGAAATATTTCGATCCTCCCCAGAGCCAATATGAAAGGGGCTATCACACTGACCATCCTGCTTGGAGTCTTCATCTTCTGCTGGGCCCCCTTTGTCTTTCACGTCCTCTTAATGACGTTCTGTCCAAATAACCCTTACTGTATTTGCTACATGTCCCTCTTCCAGGTAAATGGTATGTTGATTATGTGTAATGCAGTTATTGATCCCTTCATATATGCCTTCCGAAGTCCAGAGCTCAGAGACGCATTCAAAAAGATGATATTCTGCAACAGGAACCAGTGGAATTACTGATCTTTGATTGGAGAAACCACAGAGATCATTGACAAGTGACATGTCAACAAATACTAATGCCCCAACTTACCATTTCTTCCCTAATAGACTTGAGAAGCATTCTACTGAATATTATCTCTAACAGTGTGGTTCTGCGTGAACAGACCTTCTGGAGGAGCAACTTCTAAATTTAAGAGGTTTTAAAAGGTGATGTGTTAAAAAGAATGGAATACAATGTACATACAGCAATAAAAATTCAAGGATTTGGGGCTAAGGAATAAAACGTTTTCCTCTGTGGACATCTATAGGCGAGTTCTCCCTGAGTTGGGCTTTCCAGACTAAAATGTATCGCAACTAACTTCCAGAAGTCGAAATCCCTGGGCTGAGTGACTCAAAGAAGAAGCTGTGGGATTTTGGCAAGCCAAAGGGTGCCGAGAACCTAGTGAAGCTGGATTTCTCACTGGCTGCCTCACAGTGCCTTGCAAAGTTCCCACCTCCCCGTCCTCTCTTCTGCCTGCCTGCTCTAATGTAAGCCACCTCAGATCTTTTTAGAAATAGAGAGAGACTAAGTTTATAAGTGCCCCCAAACTAGCATAATTTACTTAACTCATTCTCTAATACCACTTAGTTAAACAAATGACTTGAGCAAATAGTTGACTAGGGATCTAATGAAAATAATTCCTATGCACATTAAAAGAGACACATTTCTTATAATTAGATAAATGAAAGTTAAAACTATTTTGTGATACTACTTCTTTTCATCAGAACTTTTGCAAAACTCTGCTGATGAAGCTTTAGGAAAACCAGCCCACACGTATGTTGCTGGCTGAATTATAAATTGGTAGAATGTTTTAAAAGAGTAAAATGTGGCAACATCCTATACCGTTCAACTTCACCAATGCATTGAAGCCAGCATTCCGATTTCTTGGAATTTACCCTATGAGGAGAAATGCTCACCATGATATACACGTGTAAATTATTATTCGTAGAGCATGGGTTGTCACAGCAACAAATGGGAAACAGCTCAAAAATTCATCATGGGCTTTTGATCCCTGGTTAAATGTCAGTTTAATTAACCCTCCTAAATGATGAGTCCATTCTGAAACAAAGACTCCTACTTTATTTAGCCTGAAGTGAACAAGTAGCAAATGAGCAAACACATGGACTGATTTCTCACTATACAATCATCTGTGCAAGCACAGATGCAGAGATGGCATGTTCATTTGCATAAATTAAAAACATAAGCTACTGAACGCTGCTTAGGAAAACAATGAGGGTTAAAGACAAGGCAAACATTTTGATAACACTCAATCACTAAGGCAAAATTATGCCTGAAGAGTTAAAACATGTTGCAGCCCCATGAAAATGGCACATACTTGTTGATCTAAGTTGCCAATTATTGGGAAACCTTGAAAGCAAGATATTTGAACCAAAGTTCAATGATTTCAAAGTTTATGATGTTAGGATAGCAATTACTGTACTTGCTTCTCACCCTAGAATGTTTCCGCTTGAAGTCCAAAGGAGGATTTCAGTTCCTATAATCTGCAACAGGTATATTTAAGGTAAAGTCCAGGTTACTTGGAGAAGTTTCCAAATTGGATCCTTCCAATGTGGCCTTTGAAAAATGCTGTACCTCTAAAGTTCAGGTGGTCTTTAATACAATGGCTGGCTTGCCAAGGGTAAGAAAGAAGTTTGGTCAAGAATGATATGTGTTTAGCAAAGTAACACAGGGTGTTTTCTCCCATTGGGCATCTATACAAGCAATGTTAAGTGCTATCCCCAGGGGTAGGTACCCCTTCCTCCTTTACCCCTCACTCACTGCCATCGAGTCCATGCTGACTCATAGTGACCCTATGGCACCGGGTAGAATTGCCACTGTGGATTTCTGAGATTGTAAACATCTTTCTCTCGAGGAGCTACTGATGATTTCTTACTGCAGACCTTGAGGATCACAGCCCAACAGGTAACCACCATCCCACCAGGCCTCCCAGAAATGAAATCCCCTTCTCTAAGGCAGAAGCCCCCCTTCTCTTCTGGTCATACATTTCCATCAAAGTCCACCGGACACTGCTGTAGGAGCATATTAAATTGAGGTCCCTGTGGAGCAACGCTATTTGAACCTCTCTTTCTCCCTCCTATATGAAAATCTGACCCCAGGTGAGGTGGGGCCTCCTCTAAGAAATGGTTTTGAAGATGTACAAACAAAGGAGTAATAAATGGTTCATAAGCATCAAACAAATATGCCACTATGTTGTTTGGCAGACCAGATTAAATGAATACATGTCCTGAGAACAGATGTCAGATTTTGTATTAGTGTTAATCCTCATAGTAGTTGTCCCTATAGAATATTTGTCCTTTTGAGATTGATTGACTTCACACAGTATAAAGTTCTCCAAGTCCATGCATGTTGTGAAGTGCTTTGTGTTTTCATCAAATTGTTTGTAGAGATGCATTGTATTCCACTGTGTGTATGTACCAGAGTTTCTTTATCCTCAATTCTCCTGATGGGATTTAGGGCTGTTTCCAACTTCCTGCTATAGTGAACACTGCTGCCATGATCATGGGAATGCATATATCTGTTCACGTTATTTCTCTTACTTCTTTAGGGCATGTACCCAGATATTACTAGATCATAAGGAATTCCTATTCCCAGTTGTTTCAGGAATTGCCAAATCATTTCCCACATTGAGTGCACACACTTACAGACCCACCAGTAGTGGATGAGAGTTCCCATTTCTCCACACCATTGCCAGAATCTGTTGTTCTTTGCTTGTTTGTTTGTTTGTTCTTAATGGGCTATCATTGACCTTGCAAGGTGGCATCTTCTCATTGTTTGGGTTTTCATCTCCCAGATAGCTAGTGATCTTGAGCATTTTCCATGTGTTTGTTAGCCATTTTGGTGTACTGTCTATTCATGTCTTTTACCTATTTTTAAATTGGATTATTTGTTGTTGTTTTCTTATTGAAGTATTTCAGTGTTCCATAGATTTTAGAGATTAGCCCCTTGGTCATGGTGATTTTGCTAGATATTTTCCCAGACCATGGGCTGTCTTTTGATGAAGTCATTTGATGTCTTCATGTTAGTGGGTCCCAGTCATGTATCTTGTCTTCTTCTGTGTATGAAGCAGAAGACAGAGTGAATTAGAACTTGAATTAATGGAGCTATAGTTAGGTTAAAAGTTAACTTCTTTTAGCCATTATTAACATTGTCATTCTTTTTGGGTTGTCGTATGTTTGAAATATGCTCAATATTTGTGAAGAATGTTTTACTATTGACTCATTTGTTCTCTTTCGAGGGACCTCATCTTGAGGAGAGTGGTTCAGATGTTCTGATTTCCCTCACATGATCTCTGTTTGGAGACTGAGATTGAGAGCGCCTCCTTTCTCTTAAAAGACCTGGTGGAGTAGACTGATAATGAAATTGCATGTGCCCCATGCAGGGCCTTTCTTAGGTGATGGAGAGGTCCTGATTTCTTTTGGGAGGTGAAGATTGAGAGTGTTTCTTTTCTCTGCCGTATCTGTCAAGAGACCATGTTGTAAATGGAAACTAAAATCTAGAACACACTAGCCACGTGTTAAGTACTTATTTGCCACATGTATGGTAGTGGCCACATGTATGCCACCGCCTATGTGAGTGGCTGCCATACTAGAGAGAGAACCTATAGAGCATAGCAGTCACGGTTAGAAGTTCTAGGGGACAGCACTCCCCTAGCTGATAGTTTGTACTTTCTACAAACTCTTGTGTTCTGGTAAAACAAAAAAACTCACTGCCATTGAGTCATTTGAGACTCATAGCAACCCCTCAAAGGCAGGGTAGAACTGCCCCTATGGGTTTCTTGGACTATAAATCTTTATGGTAGTTGGAAGCCTCATCTTTCTCCCATGGAGTGGTTGGTAGTTTTGAACTTCTGACCTTACTGTTAACTGCCCAATGTAGCCCACTATGATATGACATTGTTAACTGTAGCCCATGTAGCCCACTATGATATGACACCAGGGTTCCTCCTGTTCTGGTAAAAGATATAAAACCTATCTGCAATGTTAAATAATATATACCCTAAATGAGGCATTAGTATATGGTTCACAAAGGAGCCATGAGAGAAGAGGAATTTAAGATGCATTTTAAAGAGTGCACAGTTGTAGAAGAGTGAACATAGTAGACTATAGAACTTAAACTGAACACAGGGAAGGGGAAGTACAAATCATGTTCACAGCAGCCTAGTTTTATTGTTATGTAGGGTAACTGGGAAATTAGCTAATATTTTGGAGATCACTGAAGTTAAGAATGAGAACTTAGTACTTCATAAGGCAAACATTTGGGGAGCTATAAAAGGTTTGCAAATACACATAATGACACCATCAGAACAGTGTTTAAGGGTAGTATTTTAAATATTAACCAAACAATCCACCTTCACAGGTAATCAAATAAGACCTGTTTTCTCGCATTGAGAATGGTAGGATGGAATTATGGTGTGAGACATTTTGGTAGTAGGTTCTACAGGAATTTTACTCTGAGTCTATAGAAATATCAAACAAAGAAAGAAGATTGCTACAAAGTTTCTGTACTTAGTGGCCGGGTAAAGATCAGGTAAATAACTGCTCCGTTTAGAGACATTAGGGCAGGAAGAGATGCTCTACAAGGCAAGGTTTGAGATGATTTGATGTGCACTTTCCCCAAACACCAGGCAGAAATTAAGAAAAGAGATGGAATCAAAAACCATGGGTCTGGAAGCTCTGCTGAAACCTGTCCGAAATGGGTGACCCTGCTGGTATTTGAAATACTGGTGATACAGTTTCTAGCACCATAGTAGCAATGCAAGCCACCGTAGTATGACAAACTGACAAATAAGTGGCAGGGACTATGTGTAGTTGTTGCTAAAAATAGAAAATACTGAATTTTCCCATGATACTTTTCTTGTGTCCACAATCAATATCTATAGAAGCATCACTCACAAACAAAATCAAGTGAAATATACCAGTGGCCAATCTGTTGCAAAAGACGTCTTAACAGGTTAAAATGT